CAAAAAAAAAAAAAAAAAAAAAAAAAAAAAAAAAAACGCCCGCCTAAGAGAAATAACGCCATTCTCAACATGCATGTTAAGTCAATTCAACAAAAACTTGAATAATCAATTGGCTTTTATACAGGTATGTTCCTAACCAGCCCAATAAACACCTTTAAGCACTTCTATAAGTAACGCCACACACCTTTTTCAAGATAATTACGAATCCATGAGAGACAAATTCTGAAAACCACATCTTACATAGCCAACATCATCTGAATTGACCAAACACCAATTCATGAGATATTTCAGTAAACATCTTCCAAAACAGAAATAAAAAAATAACCTTGAAAGAAAAAACTGGTGAAAAAATCAATTGTACCCACAACTCATTAACCATACTACTCTTCAAAACCTCCCTTTCCCCCATTCACTATAGTAAGTAATTCAGCTTTCACCGCATTAGTTAACCTAAAGCAGTACGTGTCCTGAAATGGTTACAAAATGCACCTAAACCTTTCCCTAAATGACTTCCAACTGAAAATGTGAAACTTGGCTCTTTCCAAAATAAATTCTTATTAAAAACCTGCTATTAGGTTAACGACGTTCTACTCAAGTTCTGGATTAGAAAAATTAATCTCAACAACTTTTGAAACACGAGAAGACCCTCACAAACGCACTTTTCATACACAAAATCTGACTGTTCTCGAATATTCTAGCCTTTATCACAGCCTTTTCGCCTAAAAGTCAATGCATATTGTAAAACCGCAAAACAGCATAATTTGTACCTTAACGACAAGCAAACCAAATCTATAAAATCATACAGAATAACCAAAAGAACTCGAAGTTACCTTTTACTAGGGCTGCCACAAAGTATATTGGAACAATGAAAAAGGAGAACTTCAAAGTTTAGGAAATGTCTGAATGCCTAAATCAATTAAAAAAATAGATAGAAAAATCTAAAATTACTATAACAAGGACTGTTGAAAAGCCATGCGAAATTATAGGTAGCAAACTGATATAATGATATATAGAAATTACAGCAGAAAATCTTTAGCCATCGACAACTACCACTGAAAAAAAAAAAAAAGAACCGATGAATCATTTTAAACAAGAATAAAAAACAAACATTTTTTCCACTACACAACAAGTTGCATAATAAACCTGAACAATAAAATAAACCCAACAACCATAAGCTGATCCAAGCGGTTAAGCTTAGAACAGGCAACAACAACCGAAAGTTGCACGAAAGCTCTAACAGTATAGAAAAAAGCTTGTTCAGTGTAAAAGAATTACTTCTGGTCACAAAAATGCAATATTTTCAAGTGCAACGGTTTAAAAAATTTTGAAAGTTTTTGAAACTTAAACGTACCAAGTGCTAGCACTAAAAAATTTCACGACAAAACCATCTCTGAACAAACTATGTAAATTTCCTTCAAACACCTCAAAGTAAGAGTTGCCGTCCTTCAATACTTCGACATTCAGACGAATCCACGAAACCTCATATAAGCGAGAATATAAAATAAAACAATCGCAGCCTATTCCTATGTTTAAACATCCGTCCACAGAACTTCAGCTTTGAACATACAAAACTTATAATAAACAAAATATGTCTGATTCCCATACTAATTTCTCTACTTTTTTTTTCTGAACCAAAAAGCAATTGCGTTCAAAACATTTTAAAAAAGAGACAAAACTTTTAAATATAAACTATCTTGATTTTCGTGATTTGAATCTCGTTTCACCACTAGGTCGCAAAAATCTTCACCAAAAGTCTTTTGATCCTGAAAACGATCCCAAACAGAGGAACCAACTTCATTCAGCGCACCACGTAAACACACTAGTAATATTTCTTCCCTATCAAATTTGTGACAACAAATCATACATGCTCTATAACGCTCGATAAAAGTGAATAAAAAACCCAATTTGTTACACGAAAACGATCATATTAAGTAAAAAGTGCCAAAAAGTATAATAAAATAAAATAAAAAATGAAAATAAAAAAAAAAATAAAGGAAACCACACTGTGATCTTCCAATAAATGTTTAGACTCAAAGTTGGAATCAACGAACACCTACTGTCAATACTTGATACAAATCGTAACATTACTTTCAACTGCCTACCAAAAAGAATGGCAGGTAACCACCGAAAAAATCGACGTCGGAATATGAGAAAAAATACTTCTTATTTTGAACGACAGTAACAAAGGGGTTATCTGAAAATAAAAAAACTTTTAGCAAAAATGATTTGCGGAACAAATTACAATGAACAAACGAAAATACCTAAACTTAAAAATAAAAAAATCACCTAAAAACGTCTTAAGTTTACGATAAGCTAGATTAAAATCCTTGACAGCATGCACTTAGTATATGAAGAAACTCTAAACTTGAAAATTTTTCAAAGCTGTGAAATGGTGGCGCATAACTTCTAATGATATATAGTAAAACGAGAAAAAAAAAATGAAAGTATACTGCGAGTATTGTAATGATCCAATCTGTCTCCGCCTTAAAATAGAAGAGATATTACACATCGCTTTCTATTCTCCTTACACACAATAAAAGCCACTAATGAAATAGGAAGACAGTTCGACCGTTGAGCTTAACTTAAATTATTGTTATTTAGACGAAGCAGAACACGCGAACAAATAAAAAAGTTCTTTGTTTTTTTCAAACGTCATTCACCTCAATAAGCGCACCCGTCACTTCTTAAAATCTTTTAAAAGCGCTCTGGAAGTCCGTTAGTGAATACCTTTAAAATAGTCTGGACGCGTAAGCCTCCTTTTTCTCCTTTAATATTTCTCCGTTAAAAAAAACCATTTCAAGCAATATCGATTGGGATGCAAAAAAGATAAATACCTTAAAGCTACTAAACAAAAACACAAATAATGTTACAGGTGCGACTGCAAGTATTGCTTCTTGAAACATTCAGGCAAAATAAAAAAAAAAAAATTAGATTTTCCGATAAACAGCATTCTGCTCTCGAAGCTGCTTGACAAACCAAGTTGAGTAGGCTTGAAAAAAAAAAAAAATAAATAAATAAATAAAAAAGAAAAAAAGAGAAACCTTCCCAGTAAAATTTTATGATCCTTATTGAACTAACTTGGATGCATACAACATTACATTGTCGAACATCTTCATGCGTTCTCAGAATGCAGAATTCTTAGTTTACAAAGCTGCGACAAAACCCCTATCCATTAAAAAAAAAAAAAACATGAACAGGTAAATAAACAAATAGATAAATGGCTTTATAAAGTGAAAAATGAACTACTTAATAAACCTTCGTAGTGATCACACAGAAAAGATGGTGAACGCAAACTACTACATCTAAACCTCTCCTTTTCTAAAACCCAACAAACCTAACGACAAATTAAGTTGAATAAAAAAGAGCAATTCTTCCCTAACGCGCCGAGTAAAATTCGGAAAAAAAATTCTTAGATGCGAAAAATGGGAAATACAAAAATACACAAACGCAGGCAAATACGAAGAAGTATACTGATATTAACCCAGGAGCAATATCGATGGACAAGCTAAAAATCAAACAAACAAGCTAAATCCGATGAAAACCGAGGCACACTGACATACACACACACAAACATACACACAAAAATACACACACAGACATACACACAAACACAAGAAGACATACACAAACACACACACACAAACACACACACACACACACATCCACATACACACACACATTCTTAATAGAAGTATCGCAGTATTTCAAACTATCCGCGCGCAAACCATTTCTAGCTACGCTTAACTTCTAGCACGATTTTCATTGGCGAAATGCCATTTTAGAAATTCTCTAAAACGTTTTAATCAGCTGATTTTACTGTATTCAGAGACCTATTGCTCCTCTAAAATTGATGTTGGAACCCTTGTCACACTTTAAACAGCTCTTTGCTCCGCTTCCATTCACCGTGATGACTAAGACAATAATTTCCTTTATGCGCTAGTTGGCTAGAGGGCTTCATGAAGCATTTAAGAAAAGAGAGCTCACCCGAAAGCGTTACAGATCTAACACTTTGGGGAAACAGTATTGTTTTGCTTCCCTTTATGTATTTGTTGTCGCGTGCTTTTGTGTCTGGTCCACTGTCGACATCGTTTTCATAGCCGCTCCATGATAAATGACGGGGAAGAATTTTGTTATTCGTGTTTTTCTTCCAGAAACACTTCTACTTCGACAAAGGTATTTTGATGATGCCTTTCGCTGGG